ATAATAAATATCTATTTGTACTTTGTCATTTTGTACACGGTAGTTTAGATAATGAATTTTCTTGTGTTGTGTAATAATCCATCATAAAAGAGTTGACGAAAATTTAAGCCATCAAACTAACGTTTATTGTTGACGACATTTCATGGCAATTTCATAATTGCCAACGAGACCCCTTCTGCCGACCAACACTCCACTCACTAACTCTCTCGGCAGTGCAAAATCATACTTCTTGTATGCAATGTTTAAAAACCGTATAAGTGAAGAAGGCTGCCAAAGATGTGAGGAAATCATTGTTTGCAGCGGTTGAAGACGATCTAAATATTCATATTCACATAGTGCTCTTAATCTCTTACATCCCTGATCCTGTTCTCATATTTATCCTCCTAAGTCCTCTTGTTATCCTATACATTTTTTTAATAGTTTTTCAAGTCCTTTGCTATTCATTCACAAAATCTTCTTACTACACCGACATTTGTTTTTCATGTCTTCCTGATCATATTTGCTGCATTTATCCATTTATCTGAGAGTTTATTTTGATCACCTAGAGCCTTTCTCAAATCTTTCCTTAAAACAAGACAACCTCTTCATATTGAAATGTTTTAAAATTCAATTTTTGCTTTTGAAAAACTAGCGTACACAAATCATATCAATAATTTTGCATTCCTGAACAGAACGCACAAAAAATTCTCCTTCTTAAACCAAAAAGTAAACATTTTAAAAGGTAAGATATCTACAGCGTTCTAAAATATAGAGAAATGCTACGTGTTGCATCGAAGCAGTAGCTGACAAAACTATTTAACAGTTAAGCCTGATTAATATGATTTTTCAAAGTACCCAAAAACTGAAGTACATTTTAGAAAGAGAATTTCGTATCTAATACTGAGGTTATAAGCCGTTATAGTTTGTACGTTTTCTCCGTTATTGCACTGCGTATATACAGTGGCGGATAACTAATTACGGGGCCTGTAGGCTGCGACAAAGCTGTGGGTCTTAAAGTAATATTTGTTCTTACAAATCAGTTCAGTGTTTTGATGACGTTTGTGTTTCTTGCGTTCCATTGCTTTTGCATTTCCTAGCTTCTGTTTGTAACTCACATAGTGTAAACATTAAGGAACAAATTTAAAATTCAAACTGACTAAGCCCCCTGCACTTTATGAGTTTTGTGCATTAAGCATTAAAACAGTAGATCGTAAAGTTTCCAGCAGCATATATTGTCGAATTTAGAACAAAAACGCAAAAGGTAAAATATGTCTAAATACAGCGAGCGTCTTGAAAAGGCGGGCCTGTAGGCTTTAGCCTACTTAGCCTACTGCATAAGTAAAACGTCACTGAGTGTATGCAGTCAAAATGCTTTTATCTCATTTTAGTATTTATTTGTTCAGTATAAAGCAAAATATGCGATGTTTACAAAGACGCTGAATTGTTTTGTAAAATGCTGTTGTAGATTGTATAAATGTATTTATCTACGACAAATTTGACAGGAAACTGATTACTTTGAAATATTTTGTTCACAGAAAGAACTCTGCAAAATTAATTTTGAGATCATCATGTCAAACACATTTATTTATTTTATTTGTAAAGTAAATAAAGAGATGGAAAACATGCCGACCTGATTTACAATACTCTTATGAAATTTTGTAATGTTGGAAATCAACAAAAATGCATTTCTTAGAATCATTAAAACGCTCACAAAGCAATTCAGAACTGAATCATATTCTAGCTACTTTATAATGTTTGAAATACATAAAGGAGTCCCTATATTAAAAATCTCTACTTTTTGATGCTGAAACAATTTAGATTGGTCTTATTTTTGGGCAGCATTTCCATAAAAACAACATTTTTCTATCCAATATTCCATAGATCAGAGGATTTAACGTGTGTGAGCCAAAAAGACGGAGAACATAAACAACGTAAAGATTAGTGGATGAATTTGATGGAACAATGTTGTTTATATAGAGCTTGTCTACAACCAAAAAACAAGCGTGACCCACTGTGAAGCAGAGAACTGTGCTGACACAAACAATAAATGTCTTACTATGCTCAGTATATCTTTGAAGACTTGAGGTGATGGAGGATTGTAGATGAGAATGTGTCGGATTGGAGAGTGTTCGTAGTGCTTTTCTTTGTTTAATAAAGGTGTGAGCGATTATGGAGTAAGTCACAGTCATGAAGATTATTGGGAAAATGTAGAAACATGAATAAGACGCAAACAATTCGTAAATAAAATGCCATGCTTTAGCCCATGGTCAATTAGTAAATAAAGCAACCACAAAACTGAATCGTAATTCAGAAAGAAAAACCTCTCATTAATATTTACGTTATACGTCGGTTTCAATAAGTTTTTCCATCTACTATTAATCATACTATTAATATACTCTTCAGTTTTAATTCCGCCATGTTAATTAGAGGTCAGATGCAAAAGAATTTTGTCATCATCTATTAATATATTCTTGAGTTTACAATACGTCATGTTGGTACGGTGGCCCGTATGTGCAATTCACAATTTAATTTGTCAATGCACAAACATTGCCTTAAATTCAAAAACAATATATTTGATACAAAAATAATGTGCTGAATGCAAAATGATTTTGTTTGTGATGCAAAACACGAACAATGCAAAACAAATTTGATGGCAATGCAAAACAAATTTGATCGCAATGCAAAAACAAATTTGATCGCAATGCAAAAACAAAGTTACCGCAACCCAGAATTTTGCACTGTACTGTAGGCGGCAATATGTCGAATATTTAATAGAGTGGGACAGTGTATATTAGATTTCTTTCGAAAATATCTGCGTTGGTTTGTAATGTTTTGCTGAATTTCACCAGGAATGTATTGTCCATTTTGCGGTCAAAATATTCAGGTCACATTCCAATATTGCCCATTTTGCGGAAATCACTTACAAGGCTTTCGAAACGCGGAGGAACAAATCCCTAGAGGAGACGATACGTGTGACGAACTAATCGCGCATTATTTCAGAGAAGGCTTTGCATACGAGAAGATTATGCAATTCCTTGGCAAGTTTCACGGCATTAACATCTCCTTACGAACACTTAATACCAAGCTAAGATCTCTTGGTCTTCGTCGAAGGAACTAGGAGTATGATTTAAGTCTAATTCGACAACGAATACAGCACGAGCTTGATGGACCAGGTTCTTCAGCTGGTTATCGCTCTGTGTGGCATACCTTGCAACGGGAAGGTTACCAAGTGCCCAGGAAAACGATCAGGGTTTTTCTTAATGAGTTGGATCCTGATGGCGTGAGGGAAAGGCAGGGCAAAACCCTTAGGCGAAGAACTTACCACAACCCAGGTCCCAATTATGCTTGGCATGTTGATGGCTATGACAAACTTAAGCCATATGGCTCCCCAGTGCATGGATGCATAGATGGATATAGCCGAAAAGTTTTATGGCTTAAAGTATGCAAAACAAATAACAATCCTGCTGTTACAAGTCAACACTTCCTGGATGCTGTTAAGAAGTATGGTGGATGCCCCACATTGTTGAGAACAGACAATGGGACTGAAAATGTCATAATGGCAGCAATGCAAGCTTATTTTAGAACTAGTGGGGATGATGAGATGGCAGGTATCAATGCTCATCGGTATGGTTCCTCTCAGTCAAACCAGCGGATTGAATCTTGGTGGGCATTTCTACGAAAAAATCGCTCGAACTGGTGGATGAATTGTTTTAAAGATATGATTGAGACAGGGCATTTAAATACATCAAGTGATCTAGACAAGGAATGTTTGTGGTATTGCTTTGCCAATTTATTACAAGAAGATCTAACAAGCGTCAAGCGTAATTGGAACTCCCACTACATCCGTAAGTCAAGGTTTGACACAGTTGCTGGAAGACCAGATGAACTTTACTTTCTCCCTGAATGCAATGGTGCACAAAATTATGCAAAGCAAGTGACTGATGCTCAATTTCAAGATATGTCTCAATATTGTCATGAGTACATGGAAGAAAATGTTATTCAAGAATATTATTGCACCATTGGAAATGAACTTGGTATGTCTCAACCAACACATTGGAGAAGAGCATTGAAATGTACCATATCTTACGTGGAATTGCCCAAAGCTGAATTTAATTTTTGAAAAAAAATTTTGAATTTAAATTTTTTTTTTTTTTTTTTTTTTTGCACACCATTTGTAAATAATGTCTGTAACATAACTCTGCAAAAGTTTAACTAAATCGCCAAAACAAGGGACACATTGTTATTCTTCCTCACAATATACTAAATATTCCTCCATTCATTAAAGCTGTCAGCAAGCAATGGGCCAGGCTACAATCTAGTGTCTTCTTGTTCACATACAAATGCAATGAGTTGGAACAGGTCTGAGCTGATGGTATCATCTTGCCTTCATCATGAACAAATGTGATTGTTGGTTTAGGTACAAAGCCAATAGTAGGTACGTTGGTTGCACCAGTTGCAAATAGAAGAATATGCTTAGGAGTTGCTTCAGAAGCAAAGCGCTCCTCTTCTTCTGTCAACTCGATTCCTTCATCATGTAAGTTTCCCAGCAAACTTCCATCTATTAAATAGTAATATGTAATACATATCATATGACACAGAAATATACAGAAAAAGACACTTATTAAATCTGCCATTGCAAAAGCAGATGCTTCGATCTGGGACAGATCACATTGTCACTCACCTTCCATGGACTTGATGAAGGCGATAAATTTAGCCATTATTATTTCTTGTGGTTCTCTACGATGGTGACCAATTGGAGAAAAATTAGGTTTCATGATTTTTATCAGCTTGCTGCCATCCATCTTTTCCTCTGGATTGTACTGGAATAAATAGTTGCCCATTCCTTTATTAGCACGGACCAGTTGCAAAACCTTTGAATAGGAAAGGCATTTTACTTATAGTATATAGAAATCAATAATTAATACTATTGCAATATTCAGTGCTAATATCTGCTGTGTATATTCAATGTATTAACCAATAATACATGACTAGCATTAGTTTCTCTGTTTTGCTTTGTTTTACATAATACCCCCAAAGTGCTACTACTATAACACTATTATGGAGGCAGGCAAATAAAATAAAATTAAACTAAACTTTGAATTAAATATACGACACCACATACATCATAATAATTGAGGCCTTCAATGAGCTGATCAAGCATTGGTTTGCATTTTATGATGATGAAGTATTTGGTGACCTCCTCAATGAACATCAGCTTATCTTTAATTAGGAGGGTTTGGGACAATCCATCAATGTCATATCTCCACTCACTCTCAGCCAAAAAAGAATCAACACCCCCTTGATCCTTTGCAGCTTTCAGCTATAGTAATAATGAAAACAATTGTTGCCAAAATTGTTTAAAAAATTAAGTTTCAAAGAATTTAAGTGTCAATAAAAATTGGCAAATTGGTTTCTGCCATGTGATGTCGAACATTTGATACCTTTAAAGAGAATCTCTAATGTTCTTGTCAGGTAGCTCGTCTATATCTGGTGTACAGCTGCCAAACCCTGCCTCAATATATTGGCAAACAGATTTGCTAAATATTCGTGGCAATTCTCCACCTTGCACAACAAGTGTAGCCAACATGTGTCCAACAGCCAAAATGTTCCTTGATTCAAGGCTCCAACATTGCAGCGAATTACACAACCTGTTGGCATGCCTACAGAAAATTTATATTTAGCCAATAAAAATAAAGTGGCACACTCTACAACCAGGCTACAGACTGAAATGAAATCAAAACTTGAAATTTAGTACACAACATTTCCAAGTCAAGAACTTTAATTCATAACTTACTACACATTATTCCACTGTCTCGTGCAATAGCTCCAAGAAGTAGATGGAAGAATTCTCTTCTTGGGCCACCTTGATCTACGGCATCTTCCTCCTCTTCAAATGTAGCAAATGATACTTTCAAAATGCCAGCAGAACTAAGGAAGCCTTTCCTTCTAAAATATGGTAGCGCAGTTCGCCATATGCTTAATCGGCTAACAACAATGTTTCGAGGGTCTCCTTGAATTTTGTTTGCTGCATGCTCTTTAACTGCATTCAAGAAACCATCACTTGTGAGAATTTCAGGGTCAGTGATAGCATCACCAACTGCATCTTCCACATCGACATGCATAGACAAGCTATTACGTATGGCCTGTTGCACAGCAGCATTCTCATCAACTCCAACTGGTCTAATAACAAAAGATTTCATAGATTTAATACAACCAACAGTGATTGCTTTATACACAATAAAGTAGTAAAACTTAGTCATATTACATGTTACACTTACAAAAGTCCGTCAAAGCATAGGATGTTGCAAAGCTTCCCAGACCCATTTCCACTGGATTCTGGAGATACTGCCAAATTTCCATTACAATTTTCTGGCACTTCTTCTTGTAATTCACTATTGAGGTCCAAATCGTCGTTTTCGGTAAGTAGATCAGTGATGAGTACATCATTAGCTCTCACTTTCTGTTTTGGTGCTACAGGGCAAAGGTACAAACTTATTCTTGAGTACGCTGTCCCAAGTTCTTCTTTGTACTTGCCCATCACGAATTCTTCGTCCCCACCAGGAATTGTTCGTGCCAATTGACCATCTGGGTAAACAAGTACGTAACCTCTATCAGGGCAAAATGTTCTATCATAGTTAGCCCATTTGGTCAAAGATCTTTTAAGAACTTGATCATACACCATGTCCGGTGTCACCTTCACAGGAAATGTTTTACCAAAAACCCGTCTTGGCGTATATGAATCATCGTGGTCGTATTCCATTAAACCTACTGTTATAAAACATCAGTATTTTTTCGTGATGTTGCAGAGCGTGACTTTTTCCTCTTGGGCTCAAAATGCGACCGTCGTTCAGCCTCCTTGTTCTTCATGAAAGTAGACAAACTTGTACAAGATGAAGACGTGTTCGACGAAGTGGGGGAGTTCCCAGTCGAGTGAGTCACACAAGGTGATTTAACAGAGCTGCTTGAAGGCTCAGAGGTCCCATTGGATTTTTTCTTTCCGCAATTCGGGCAAAAGAAAAACGACGTCTCCATTCCATGTCCACAAAAGCAGCAAAACATTACAAACCAACGCAGATATTTTCCAAAGAAATCTAATATACACTGTTCCACTCGGGGAATGCGTTATGAAATTTTATACAAGAAACATATTGTACTTATAGCGATTATTATGTCAAGGCTTTTGCCGCTGACCAGGAAGTTAATAGGCGCGTCCCCGATCATTGCCCGGGTTATAGCATTCCCCTGTCCCCACTCTATTAAATATTCGACATATTGCCGCCCACAGTACAGTGCAAAATTCTGGGTTGCGGTAACTTTGTTTTTGCATTGCGATCAAATTTGTTTTTGCATTGCGATCAAATTTGTTTTGCATTGCGATCAAATTTGTTTTGTATTGCGATCAAATTTGTTTTGCATTGTTCGTGTTTTCCATCGCAAACAAAATCATTTTGCATTCAGCACATTATTTTTGTATCAAATATATTGTTTTTGAATTTAAGGCAATGTTTGTGCATTGACAAATTAAATTGTGAATTGCACATACGGGCCACCGTATGTTGGAGGTCTGATACAAAAGAAAATATAGTCATTGCTATTTTGTAAGCTCTAGCAAGCGCGGGCGATAATAATTGTTTTCCATGGAACATATGGTTAATTCCCCCAAAAAATAGCACTACTACTTATCCAATCTTTTTATCTCATCTCAGAATTTACTTGTTCAATATATAGCTTTATATTGTATATTATCGTCACAGAAAATTTCTTGTTTTCAAACAAAAAACAAACAGCAAAATTATTTCAATATTTACCTAAATTTATTCCTGAATGAGCAAATGAAGACATTCAAAAGGACCTAGTTGAAGCAGTCGACGTATTTTAGCAAAAAGAAAAGATAAAAAAAAAAGGTTTGCAAACGTTGATTTATACTTTGTCGTCTACAACAAAACTCAACAAAATTGATCAGACATTGCTTGCTTATTCTGTGAGCCAATCACATTTTTCACTTGACTAAAGCTAGCCAATAGCAATTCTTTGGTAATATAGATCATGTGCGCGTGATATTTGCAAAACCATGACTTAATCAATTTTGAATCCTCCAAATAGGTGTGCTGGAAAAGAAAAGCAACTTGTTTGCCAGTCAAATTTTGGGGTTTGTTTCAGTGCCAAATATGATGTGTTTATAAAAAAGCTCAATTGCTTTACAAACTGCTGTTGTATATTGAAAAAATATTTTTATTTAGGCAATTAGCTACTTGATGCTGTTGAAAATGATGATCCATGTAAAAAATGCTAAAAAACCTTTTAAAGCTAAAATATATTCTAGCAAGCCTGTTTTGCAACAGTAAAACAATCTTGAATCATGAATGTTTAATTTTTTTTGTTCTTGAGGTTTACAAAGACTATTAGACAAAGAAGTGGGATTTTTCTCTTTAACATTCTTTTCTTCGTCCTTTGGGCATTATCCATAAATTATTTAAGTCATTTCTTTATAAATGTTCGATAAATGTTTTGCCTTCGCCCATTTTATTTTTACCTACATCTGAATTCTGCCATATACGCTTGTGTATTGTAATTGTGCCGCCAATCACACGATATAAAAGATCAGTACTTTGAAACTTTATGCATAATTATATGACTTAATTTACCATTTTCAGCCTTAGAATCAACTTCAAACGTCCACCTCTCCAAAACTCTTAGTTGTTGAGGTTAACATTTCGTCCCACAGTTGTTCTTTATGCCTTTTTTTTTTGTATATGATCAAATTGATGATGATGAATTATCGTTATAAGCTCAAAATACAAAACTGTATTATTGCCTCTTCACATACAATGACTTAAAGATGGTACAGTCTTCGGATTTTGTTTTGAGCAAAACTAATTTGAGCAACTAAAATGTGAACTAATTAGGAATGAATACATTTGTTAAAAAAAAAGATAGCATTGTAGCTGGCTAACGCAGTCAATTAAAAACAACTATCAGCTAATTGCAGTGTTTGTAATTTCTACAGGAACTAGTCAAAGTCATAAATAAAGACAATCCAAATACATTTCTATTTTTTTTGTCTATAGTTCTCTTACGCTATTTCAAAACAACACTCTACTTAATTGTCAAATATTCCACGTGAATGACAGGCTGAAATACAGTATAGCTAAAGACAATTTTCATTATCTTGGAAAAATTGTCTTATTCGGGATCTATGTAAAGATTACTTGAGAACTGTAATGTGCAGCTAACTTTGATTTTATTCTAGTTAGTTTTAGGTTTTAACGTGTATCATTCGAAGAAAATATTTTTTCAGTAAGCACGTTAGAGGTCTTCTTGGTTCTGAAACTGATCTCAATAAGGCCTTGTTTTTGAAACATTAATTAAACGTAAATAGTTTAAACATTAAAACAGGAAACATGTTAGTAGTTGTCAAACGTCCTGTTATCTGAATTAGCTAATAATTATCTTCTAGTGCACCACTTCCAAAAGTACAAAACTTTTCTGTCAAATATTCCATAGATTAATGGATTGAGAGCGTGTGATCCCAAAATTCTTACACAATAAGCAACTGATATGTTTACTGTGTTAGTTTCAGCAGAATAAAAAAAAATGCAACCAAGCTGTCACATAATAAATATGACCAACGGAAAAACAGAGAACCGTTATTGCACAAACGAAAAACGTTTTTAATTCCCGAGTATATCTTTGAGAACTTGAGTTGGATGAGCATTGAAAATGAGACGGTGTTGCATTGGAGAATGCTCTTAGGGCTTTTCTTTGTTTGATCAATGCTCGAGCGATTATGGAGTAAGTTACAGTCATGAAGATTATTGGGAAAATGTAGAAACACGCAAAAAAGGCAAAATATGAAACACGCAAATAATGATTTCGATGATCCACAATGCACTCTTCAATTGAAAATCCAACTGTCGTAATCAAACCAAAGATGTACGCTAAACCACAAATGATTTTTATCTTTCGTCGACTGAAGGAAGGTTTCAATGGATGGACTATCGCACGATAACGTAGAACTGAAATGATTAACATCATAGATATTCCACTTATTTGAAAAATAGTATCTGTGCCACTTATGTATGAGCAGTTTAACAAAATTGGATTGCTTTTCAAAGAGCGTTCAAAGATCTCAAACAAAAATATACTTAATAGTACAAATGCGTCACATATCGCGAGATGTAAGACAAGAAAGTAGTAGTTCTTCTTTAACAGAATCTTTTGCTTTAAAATTGAAGCGATCACAAGAGTATTTACAGCAATGCCAAAAGCACATATTGCCACAACGAACAATACAATATCTTTCATTATTAATGATTTCTCTGACCAACTTTGGAGTGCCCTACTTTCTTCTATTTCTCTGTTCAAATGTGATGATAAACCGTGTTTTCCGTAAATATTGAATGCTGCACCTCATCATTCACAGCTGTGTTTAATGAAGGCGTTCTTAAAACGAAACGTGTCCAAAACTAATCAAGTTTGCGTTGTTTTATTGGATGTGTAATATGATCTCTTAGACAAACTTTATTGGACTAAATTGGTTGACCATGTGACGATATAATGAATTGCCGATAGCATATTGATCTCATTTTTTGCGAAGTCAAACGATTGTTGAAGTCATCATGCCAGCTGTTGGCAGACTGAGATATAAAATTTTGCAGGAATTGAAGTTCAAATATTTTAGAATAATAAAGTCTATTTGGAGTCCGTTGTACGACATGCATACATGGACACTATTGAGATATTTATGCATGTACAACTGAGAAAATGATTATTAAACATAAATTTTAATAAATCAAATGACAAATGTAATTGAACACAGTAGTGTTCATAATAATTTCAAGCGTTTGTGGAGAACGATATTATCAAACTTGAAAATATTTTTAAATGGCATTGTAACAATATGATCTTATAGAAATTTAATCAGTTATATGGCCAGTTATCTTCTGAACGAACATGTTTTAAATTTTGAGTTTGTTCATATTTCTGCCTCATTTGAATCTCCAAAAGAAAATCAGTTGTTTGCTGGGTATCACACGACAATATTTGACACATGATTAAAAATTAAAACATCTTACATTAGATGCCTGTAACAATGACTACCATCACAACGTTTTTTGTATATAAAAAATATTTACACAGATCTCGGCTTGCATGTGTTTATCTCTGAATGTTAATGGTTTTCAACCTGTTCCTGTTCGACAACTTTAATACAGTTTTAGCTATTTAAA